ACATATTCTAGGGGATAGCTTTGTACCAGCTGCCTGTGCAGCTAGAGAATAAAAAAGTAACAAGAATGATGATGAGACTAACAATAAAAATGACTTTTATTGGATGTGTAGTAAGCACACAGGAAATGTGACAAATGTTTCACACATTTCATCCCTAAACTCTATTGCTTTTAATTTAGAAAGGCTGCTTGTTCTTTAGCTCTCAGGGAAAGCACTGCAGAGTAATCAGGTATTGGTTTCACAGCTAAGACTTGAAGCCTTTTAGCAATTCCCCTTGTTTTTTGGCTTACATGTTATGAAGAAAAATGATCTCTATGCATATGTTTTGGAGTATCCTGTAAAAGAGCTAAATAAATTCTCAGCTTATGGTCACTAAAAGATAGATAAATAAATAGGAGAAACACAGGCTGCAATGATAGCTATTGAAATAAAATACAATTTAATGTTTGCAGTGTTTAGTTTCACTAACTTTGCAGGTCTAAAGCTAGTAGTTTGATCATTCAGAGGATTAACAATATGCAATGCAGCATCTGTGGGGGATCTCCTTTTGAAGGTGGTAGCCATTGTTAACTCCCTATCATTTTGTTTTGAAGTCCTGTATCATTTTCATTATTTTGTTGGGTTGGGTTTTATTGTTTTGTGTTGTTTGATTTTATTATATCCGAAGGCATGGGTAGCTATTTCAAAACATAACAAGATATATTATGGTAGCCATTTTGGACTTATTTTTAGCTTGTTTTGAAGTCCTGTATTGCATTCATTGTTTTGTTTTTATTGGTTCTATTCTGTTCTGTTTTCTTGATTTTACTATGTCTGAAGGTATGGGCATCTATTTTGAAGACAAGAGGTATTACAGTAACTATTGTTGATTTCCTATTGTTTTGAAGTGCTGTGTCACACTGGTTTGTTTTGATTGGCTTTATTCTGTTTTATTTTGCTTGGTTCTATTCTCTTTAAAATAAAAATAAAAGCTGAGCCGGGCGTGGTGGCTCACGCCTATAATCCCAGCACTGGGGAGGCTGAGGCAGGAGGATCCTTGCGAGTTCGAGACCAGCCTGGGCTACAAAGTGAGCTCAAGGCCAGCCTGAACTCTAGAAAGACTCTGTCTCAAAAAGACAAAATAAATAAGAAAGAAATAAAATGTTAAAATTTATCTATAAAAATACAAATTTGGGGGCAGAAAAACTTGATAACATGTAATGAAAGTTTTTAAAATGTTTATATACTTTACCCAGTAATTTCACTTCTAGACATTCAATCTACAGAATGAAGATGGCTACAACCTAATTATCCAGGATGTAATAAATTATATAACAGGATACTGTATAATTATTAAAAATCTTGTTTGTTTTGCTTTGTTTTGAGATAGGGTCTCGCTATGTATTTCAGGCTGACCCTGAACTTATATTTAACATAGACAGGATCTTAAAAATATATTAAGTAAAAAAGAAGCAAGTACATTAAGTACAAAGGAAAGTAATATGTAGTTTCACTGTATATTTTCTTCCTTATAGAAAAGATAATTATCAAGATAAAATTAATTTCATTATTTTGAAGTGTCAGGTAGAGAAGTGATTTTTTTTGGTAGGAGAGATAAGATAAAAAAGGGCCACATGATGTTCTATGTAATCCTATAAAGCAGAATGAGGAACAACCACCAGAAATTACAAAGCAATAAGGTTTAGTGGGATATGCCTATAATCCCAGCTATTTGAGATGCAGAGACAGGAGGTTCAGAGGTTTGAAGCCCACCTAGGCAGTTTAGCAAGACTATCTCAGAACAAAAAAAAAGGTGTAGATATCTTGTTAGATACTCCCCAAGTTTCATCCCTAATATACACCACCACCACACTCCCGCAAAACAAAAAATTACAAAGAATCCGAAAGCCAAGTTTGTTCAATATGGCAAAGACATATAGAACAGATTTATGTAGTAGACTAAAAAAAAAAAAAAAAAAAAAAAAAAAAAAAAAAAAATTCATATATAGTCTTCCATTAATTAAATGCCAGGAAGGAAGTAGATGGTATTTCTTTGTAAATGTTATTAAAGATCCGTATGGGCCTAAACTAAAGAGATTATAATTACCATGGAGTCAGATGATTTATTTTGCTACATTCTGTATCAATAATACAGTATAGAAAATGTTAACAGAGTGAAAGGACACAATCCAATGAAGATTAAAACTGAACAAGAACTAAATTTGAATATTTCCCCTAATTTCTCTGTGTCTAATAATAATCTGAAGAGTTCAACTTTCTCCAACTACTCAATATCTCAAAATAGCACCAAACCTTTCAAAGAAGACAGGAAGCATTATGCTCCCTCTTTTTTTGCTTCTGACTGCCCTGTACTTCACATACAAACAGAGAAAAGATAAAGACTTTTCTCCTGCTTCCTTTGCAATATAGTAAACAAAATCTTAAGGCTTTGGAAATAAGAATATTGTGCAGTGGGCAATGACAGGAAAACTCAGTTATCACTCTGGATTTCTGGAAGTTAGATTTAGCTGCTAGAAGCCTATGGAAGTTTTACAGTAACTGGTGATGCTGAAAATATTGAGATATCAATAGAAAAGGGCTGGGGATTTAGCTCAGCGGCATAAGCGCCTCCTTATAAAGCAGGCAGTCATGAGTTCAATCCCCGGTGCCAATAAAAAGGAAAAAGACAAAAAAAAAAAAAAAAAAAAAAAGTGAGATATCAATAGAAAGAACACTATATAAGATGCAATGTTTAAAAATAACCTTCACTCTCCAGCACTGCAGAAAGTAAATAAAAATTAAAAACAGTGTATTATGGAAATTTTTTAATATACACAAAAGTAAAGGATAGCATAATGAACACCCACATATCCATCAATCATACTTCACTTCTCCAACGTTTTGTCAAAACTGTTTCATTTGATTTTCCAAGATTTTTTTAAAGACTTGAACCCCGAACCATACTCTTTTACCTATAAAAATTTTAGTATGTCTCAGTGAACAGTGCTGAAAAAAAAATTTTAGTATGAAAAGAACTTTATTGTCAATAGTTGTAAGTATTTCGTCAAATATAAGCTACTAGAACTAGGTACTGTTCTGTGCGTTAAACTTGTATTTAACACACATAATCTAAACCTCATTTTATCCTACTTTTACATGTTTTTTTTTTTTTTACACAAGTTTTTAATGTGTGGATGTCACGCAACCTGTAAGCAGTGGTGCCAAGATACGAATCTAGAGATTACTTCAGGCTACCCAATATTTTCCCAACCTACTAAAGTCAGCTGCCTTTCTACTATATTCATTATTCTAACTGTTCTTTGAACACATATAGGATACAGATTACTGTGTTAACACTGGAAGGGGGATTGCTGAGTGAAGAGAATAGAAAAGATGCTATAATGTGAGCAGCTGCTCTTTGCTTTTCTCATGAAATATTAAATGTCCCAAAGAAGAAATGAAAATATAAGTAGGTATCAATGGCAACTGCTGAGGACATAAAAGAAAGAAAGAAACTTGGGCAGGTAATAAAAGAAGGAAGAGCAGGCTGGGGATGTAGCTCAGCCGCAGTGTGTGTGCCTAGTTGCAAGTGGCTCTGGGTTTGAGCCCTAGTATCATCCCCAAAAAGGAAGGTGAGGGGCAATCAGCAGCCCTTTTTCCACAGAATTTGATTACAAACAAATGTCTTTTAAATCTACCCCACCAATAACATAGGTGGGAGGATGCCTCTACTTCTACCCTTCCTAAAATGGTTCAAAGAAAAAGATCTCACAAGGACTGGGGATTTATCTCAGTGGTACAAGCACCTGCCTGGCAAGCATGAAGTCATAAATTCAATGTCTGGTATTAAAAAAAAAAATGCATAAGCACCAGATTATAAAATCATGGTAAGTGGTATCTGACTGCTTATAATTAATATAAAACAAAAAATTCACTGACTGGTGTCTTGGAGTTTCACTAACAGCATAAAATAAACAAAAAACTACTAACTCAGCATTTTTCCAAAGAAAGAGGAGTAAGGACTGAAAAATCCCTCTATAGCTCTCCCTAATAATTTATAGCAGATCTTAAACTATCTTTTCTGTGGTGCTTACCTCAGACATCCTCCTTTTCCATCTACTACTCTTCCCAAACACAAACAGAAGGGCTCCTTCCCAGCAAATGTAATTCTTTATAGAACTAATCAATATTGCAGCGTAATTATCTTCTCCTTCTAAAGATGATGAATTCCCAGAAGCCTACACTCGATGTTACTCCTCTTTACATTTCCAATTCCTAAATCTTCAAACCTAGCATCACTAACGATATTTAGAAAAGGTTTGCTGAGTGCATAGGGCAATAAGCTAAAGATGGCAAAACATGGAGTAATCTTTATAAAGATTCTTTTCTTTGTCTTTTTGAGACAGGGTCTCTCTGTGTAGTTCAAGCTGGCCTTGGACTCACTTTGTAGCCCAGGCTGCTCTTGAACTGACAAGGATCCTCCTGCCTCAGCCTCACACCCAGCTAAAAACTGGGGTTTTTTCTTGGTACTGGGGGTTGCACTCACAACCTCACACTTGCCAAGCAGGTGTTTATACCACTGAGCTAAATCCTCGGCCTTCTGCTTCTTAAGTTTAAATGCTGAAGTCAACTGGGAAAATAATTTCAAATGAAAACAAAGTTCAAAAAGACTGATTAGCAAGGAGCATCAGGCCACCCACTTCTAATATTTGTCAAACAAACAAAAAAAATCCCCAACAAAAAAGTCAAAATCTGGCTTCCAGCTGTTCATAGGAGTGGGGTATCTTCTTTATGTACAGTTCTCTATGAGTCCGCCCGGACTTACCTCTAACAATAGTAGCCAAACTGCTTTGGATAATTATCTGTTTAGACCAACCCTTAAAGTAAAAATCTCTGTAAGGAAGTTATCTTTCTCATAACTCTAAGTAAATTCAAAACAATCTCCCAGTTTAGGATACATTATAGGAAAGAAAAAAATTCCATCACATGTCTTATATGTTATTCTTTGGTTATTATGTTACCTTGGTTAGAATCCCCTGGATCTTCTATATGATCAAAGACACGTCTGAGATAAATTTGCTTCTGCTGTTCTAGATCTGACTGTGAAAACGTCGAAATATTAGTCCTTGAACAAAGAAAACCAGGAAGAAAAAGAAAATACATTAGAACTATGAATACAATGCCTTGTAGAGAGACATCACATAGTGTTGACTGGTTAGAATGACAAATTTTCAGAGGCAAAATTCTTTTAAGATGCAGAACAGAAGACTATGAATAACATGAGTTTAAAATCAAGCATGGAGTTGAGAATAAAAGAGACGAAATAGATATAACTTATTGCTAACAAGGAATAAAAAGGTAAAAATTAACTAGTCCCTGGAGAAAGAAAGCATTTGTTGAGTAATTCAAGGGTAGTCAGGAAATAGCTAACTTCATAGAAGTTTAGAAAAGTTGAATGTGATAAAAAGACTGAGTACACAGTATTAAAGATCAACAAATGGGGGCTGGGGATTTAGCTCAGCGGCATAAGCGCCTGCCTTGCAAGCAGGCAGTCGTGAGTTTGATCCCCAGTACTGATAAAAACGAAAAAGACAAAAAAAAAAAAAAAGAATCAATAAATGAGAATATTAAGATTGTAAATTTATTACACTTCCAAGTAGCACGACTTGTATTCTTTTGGTATAATTTCTATTGCAAACAATTTGCAAGGTTTTCTTCAAATTATGTAAACGAAACAGGAAAACAGTTTGGGGTAGAAGTTAAAGACAACTAGTCGTATTTGTAATATACTTTAAAATGTTCATGCAAAATACATATGTGTAGTAATTTTTTTTTTTCCTTTTTTGGTTTTTTTTGAGACAGAGTCTCACTGTGTAATCAAGGTTGGCCTCAAATTCACAGCAATTTTCTTACTTCAGCCTCCCAAGTGCTGGGATTACAGGCATGTGCCACCAACATCAAAATTAATTTTTAAAAGAACTTTTACTGTAAGTTAGTTCATTTAATTTAGCCTAAAAAACAGCTTTTGTAGGACATTCAAAGGCCCACAGACAGACACTGCCATCTTCTGGCAATAAGAAAGTAAACGGAACAGGTGACCTAAATCTGTAACCTCTCAACAGAATGCATATTTCCTTAAAGGGCAGCTGTGTGCAAGTTGGGAAAAATGACTACATGATTTTCTCCATAGTTATATATTAACATTTTTGTTCAAAATTTTCTAACCTCTTATATACATGACTGAGCTTTCCATACACTGGAGAAGAAATCATTTATATAGTGTTTAATATCTATACTTTTTAAATTTCAAAATAACCTTATTTAGCAGCAGAGAAGGCACTGTTACCTTTATTTTGCAGATAGAATGAGGTGAGAAATTCTTTGACTTGTCAAAGACTATAGAGTTGAAAGTACCACTACTTGACGTTTGCTTACTCTACATGTTGGATTTTTCCTCTCCCCACATACAAAGGGATACTGGGAAGGAAAATATACAAATTAAAGAGATCCAATAGAAACCAGAATATTTATACTGTTATATTACCTGGTTTTGGTTTGCAGAACAGGAATGACCTTTCCTGTTCTTTTCTCATAGCCTTTCATTTCCCCAGAATCCTTGTCAAGAACATCCTTTTTAGAGTAGAAGGAATACAAAATGAAAAGATGGTTTTTAGTTGTAAGTTGTTATAAATTTCTACAGTAATACATAACTAAAAGCAATATGGAAATTTTTTAAAATTTAAGACTACAAACACATACTCTTAAATACTACTGTGTATCACACATTATAGCAATGCTTTAAATAAAACAGCAACCATAATTTTCTTTTTGAGGCAAGGTCTTGCTGTGTAGTTCAGGATGGCCTCAAATTTACAGTGATCCTACTTCAGCCTCCCAAGTGTTGGGATTACAGGTGTGTGCCACCACACCTGGCTCTATAATTAAAAAAAAAAAGAGGTAGGATTATACAGTAGCCATTTGGTAGATGAATCAGACTCAAAAAGGTTAGGTGAAATGCTCAAGATTTTTTTTCAGCTCTCCAGTGGCTGACTCAGAGCTAGTGTTCTATTGAAAAAAGTATGACAACCAAAGACTGAAACTGTGACTTAGGCTGAAACCCAAAGAAAGGAAAATAATAATAAATCACTATCACTTTAGTAAATATTCAATAAATGATCATTTAGTATGTACCAGGTACTGTAAACACATCATTTCATCAATCTTCATATATTAGGATATTCACTCTAATTTGTAGATAAGAATGTGGAGGACAGGCTTGGGATATGTTACAAAGCACTTGCCTACCATGCATAAGGTCTAGGTTTCCATCCTTTGTACCACAGAAACAGAGAGATGTGGAAGAACATAAAGGCTAAATAATTAGACCACAGTCAGTGTTAGTCAGGATTCAAACCCTCATTTGTTTGAATACAAAGGTCTGCTAGATTTTAACAAATGCATCAATGTGGTACATGAAGTCTATAGCAAGGAAAGTTGAGTATGTATGGGGCAAGGGTATATAAGAATTCTGCTGAATTAAAATAAATTTCTTTTCCTTCACTTTGTTTGTTTTTGTCTTTTTTGGTTTATTTTTTTTTATCGGTACCAGGGATTGAACTCACGACTGCCTGCTTGCAAGGCAGGTGCTTATGCCGCTGAGCTAAATCCCCTTTTTCCTTCACTTTGAAAAAAATGTACTTACTCTTTTTGATGAACTGGAAACACCTGGAGATCTCATTTCACAACTTACTTTATGTGATCCACTATTTTTCCAGGATGACCCTGTAGTGGAAGGAGTCTTTGAATGGTATGTGCTCTGAGAGTACAAAGATGTAGGTTTCTTACTGTCAAATATATTTTTATCAGAGACAGTTTGTTGAAAACTATTGTTCAAAGGAGAAGAGGTCCCATCCCAGGCAGAAATATTAGGACTGCTCCCTTCAGATTCAGTGCTCTCATTTGGGCTAAGATCATCTTCTCTCATCTCTTCCCTCGGGGAAGAGGGTTTTTCAGTATCTTTGGATGAATCAGTCTTACTCTTATCAAGCATAGGATCACAAACTGTTGGATCAAATGGTGCAACGACAGTCACTTTTATATGATTCTTTTCTAATACAAGGTGTCTATTTAATGATTTAGCAGGAGCTGGTTCATGACCAACTGATGTATTTAGTTGAGGTAGTTTGAAGAGGCCAGGGGTCTCAGCTACTGGTCTCAAGCTGTACAATGAATTTTTTTCTTGGGGAGTTTCAAGTAGAATTTGACTCTTTTTTTCTCCTTTCTCACGCTTATCTGATGGCTCATCATTTTTCAAGAATTTTTCAATCTCTTCCTCATTTGATGAGCTATCATCTTTCAAAAGCTCTTCAATCTCTTCCTCAGTGAGACTCAAATGGCCATCATCTTCTTCTCCATCAGAGAATTCCAGCAAGGAGTCATCTAATTCATCCTCATCCAAGGAGCTCCAAGAAAACTGAGCATTGTTTTTAGATAAGAAAGATGCATCTGCAGACTGGTCAGAGGGCATTAGTGAGCACATCATATCTAGAGAAAGAAGAGGAAGTTCTACTGAGGAAGAGGAAATAGTTTAAACCATGCTAACTCACTAAATATATATAGGGATGGTATCCTAATATTTCAAATTCTTTGCCCTGTAGTTCACATGATAAGAACTAAAAATACTTAATCTTACCAGGGTCATGGAAATACATTTTAAAACAGTACAATATTTTTTCTTATGAAAATGGTAAATATTAAGATGACATGAAATTCAGGTGTGAGGATGTGGCAAGATAAGCACTCTTACATAGCATCAGTAAGAATGTAAGTCAGATCCATTTTATTCAAGGTAGAAAGACAGAAAGAAAAAATTTATTAGAAAAAAAAAGAAACACTATGCTGCCTCCCTGTTTTTGCTCAAGCTACTTTATAAAAACAGACTGTTGGGACTGGGGATTTAGCTCAGCAGCATAAGTGCCAGCCTAGCAAGCATGGGGTCATGAGTTCGATCGCCGGTACCAAAAAACAAAAAACAAACCAAACAAACAAACAAAAAAAAAACCCCAGACTGTTTTGCTATGCCCAATGGAGTCTTTGTCCGAATCTCTAGACAGAATGCTGCAGATTCATAAATTACAAATAAAAGCCAATTAAATCTTTTAGAAAACAAAAGAATGTAAGTCAGCACAATGTTTTGCAAAAAGTAATTTGCAAAACCCTTTGACCTAGCAATTTCACTTCTGGAAACACAGCCACAGAAATACCTATTAGAAACATACATGGGCCAGGCATGGTAGTGCAGCACTCAGGAGGCTCAGGCAGGAGTATTGCTGTAAGTTTGAGGCCAGCCTGGACTACATGGCAAGACCTTGTCTCCAAGGAAAAAAAAACCAAACAAAAAAACCCAAACCCAGAGAACTACATAGGGAAACATACATAAGGACATACATAAGAATGTTCAAAGCAACCTTGAAATATCCAAATACTGGAGGCAACCTAGTAAACATCTATCACCAAAAGAAATGTTCAGTAAATCATAGGATATTTATACTACAGAATGCTTTTGAACTGTTTAAAAACATAATGAAGCTGGGCATGGTGGTACACGCCTATAATCCCAACATTGGGAGGCTGAGGCAGGAGGCTTGCTATGAGTTCCAGACCAGCCTGGGCTACAAAATAAGCTCAAGACCAGCCTGAATTGCATATTAAGATCCTGTTTCAAAAAAGACAAAATAAAATAAATACATAATGAAGTAATTCTATATGTAGTATCAAGCAATCATATCTGCAACATACAAGTAAAACAAATATTATGTAAACTGTTTGGACATTTAGTTTACATTTAAAACGTGTATTATTCTTGGAGTTAAAAAAATAAAAATAAAACTACAAGAAGATAAATAAATGCATTGCGTACTGTGTGAAGCTGCTGCAGCAATGTCTACCCTTGCCACGAGACCAAATGGAAAAAAGGTTTCAACTCTTGCTAGCTGCTCCTTTCAGGAGACCTGTCAAAATGATTGACTCCCACCTTCCTGCAGGCACAAAGAAAATTAAAGGATCTTCTCATCACTTTCAACTCTGCTAATTACAAAGTCAACTGTATTGTGCTTCAAGGTGCTCCATCTATTAATTTTAATCTTGATTTTTTTAAATATCAGAAAGTTAGAATTTTTTGAGTCAAGAACACCAAAGAAAAACCTTTAGAGGAAAAAAATTATGCAACTAAAGAACTTGTTTTGTTCCTCTCAACAATTTGTACTTTTTTAAGACTATCATTTGTTCAAGTAAGATGAACACTGATTTGGGCATCCAAAGACTTCAACTCTACTCCTGGTTCTGTCACTAACTAGTGCAAACCACTAGTCTCATAATCACTTGGATTACAAAATGGGAAAAAGTAGAGCAGGGGGACTGGCAGTAATTTTTTTTTTTTTTTTGAGACCAAGTCTCACTATTTAGTTCAGGCTGGCCTTGAACTTATACCAATCCTTGTGCCTCAACCACCCTAGTGCTGGGATTACACATGTGTACCACACATGTGTACCACCACACTCAGCCTCAGCAATGCTTAAAATTCCAAAAATTTATCATTACAACACACAACAATCTAATTTTCATTATATATGAAGAGCTAGGCGTGGTGGCACACACCTGTAATTCCAGCAAGCAGGAAGCTAAGGCAAGAGGAGTGCCATAAGTTCAAGGCCACCCTGAGCCACAAAGTAAGTTCAAGGCCTGGCTGAACTACATAGCAAGACTGTACCTCCAAAAAAAAAAAAAAAAATCTGTAATCCCAGCACTCAGCACTCGAGTAAAGCAGAACTGATACAAATTCAAGGCCAGCCTGGGCTACTTAGTAAATTTAAGGCCAGCCTAAACTACATAGTGATACCCTATCTCAACAACAACAACAACAACAAAACAAAACAGAGAAAAAGCAAAGAAAAGGTCTGTAAGGATACAAACACAGAACCAATGACTACTATAACCTGCAAGGAAACGGAATTCCAGGGAAGACTTTTCTCTGCATTTTCTTTTTTTTTTGGGCCGGGGTGGGTTGGGGGCGGTCCAGGGATCAAACTGATGACCTCATGCTTACCAGGTAGGCACTTACTACACTGAGCTAAATCCCTAGCCCCAGCATTTTATTTCTTACTTGAATATTTACTTGTATAACTGAAATATAGTTTTTAAATAACTAAAAACAGATCTAATCTATAATTATTTTTCAAATGGGAAAAGTGATAAAAATTTCACATACAAATCACATCTAAGAAGCTATTAAGACATACCTGAACATTAATTTTGATAACTGGAAAATTCCATATATATATATACACACACATACACACACACACACACACACACACACATATATATTTTAAAAGACGTAATCCAGGCTTGTCTCAAACTCATGATCCTTCTGCTTTAGGTTCCTGATTGCTGAGTTTATAAATGAACCACACCTGGCTTTTATTGCTTTTTTAACTGTAAAATTTCCACTGTCTCCTTACTTACTACTTATATCTTCAGTTGTTTCTTCAAAGCATGTATTCTTTCAAAATACACTTTCTGAACTACAGTTACCATTCGGCATTGAGCTACATAAAATATTTCTAAATGATTTCTAAGAAACAAACATATGGTTCTGTAGGGTGTTGTGGTACATCCTATAATCCCATTTATTCAAAAACTGAGGTAGGAGGACTGTAAATTCTAGGCCAGCCTCAGCACCTCAGTGAGACCTTTTCACAAAATAAAATTTAAAGAGCTGGGGATATAGCTCAGTGAGAGAGCCCTTCTTATACTCTGTGTGAGCCCCAGGGTTCAATCCCCAGTATGACAACAAAATAAAAGGAAATTAGCCAGGTATGGAAGCACACATCTATAATCTCAGCATTTGGGAGGCTGAGGTAGAAAGATTGCCAAGAACTCACTCTATACAGTACATTCCAGGCCAGCCTGAACTAGAAAGTGAGATTCTGTCTCAAAAACAAAAATAAAAGAAAGGAAGGAAAAACGGAAGGGAGGAAGAGGGACAGAGGAAAGCACCAATATGAGACAATATAAAATGGAACTGTCAACAAAATAGTAAAAAGAATAAACAAGAGCTTAGAAATGTAATAAGACAGAAAGGAAAAAAATATTTCATACCTATTATAAACTAGACAGTATGACAGACTTTATAATTGTTACCTCTCAACACCACTCTGTAAAATTAATCTTATTAAAGAAATCAAGTTTTCCATTATATTTAAACTCAGAACCACTAATACTTTAGCAATTTGGCATAGCAGATGCAACTCAATGGCTTAGCAAGCATTAGGTCTGGGTTCAACCCTCACACCCCTCCAAAGAAGCCCAACAATTATTGTGAGAATTCCAGGTATTGGTGCAGGTGCCTGCATGAAGAAAAAATTAAAAAGTTGAAAAGTAATTTCTCAGCTTAGTAACTGAATTATTTCACAGAACAAAGTTATTTCTTTAGCTTTAAGTACCATTAAGAAAAAAGGTTTACGTTTGGAAAAAAATTTTTAAACTTATAAAACCTTATGTTTGCCAAGTATAAATATCCACCATTCTTTTTTTTTTTTTTCCTTGTCTTTTTCCTTTTTATTGGTACCGGGGATCGAACTCAATCCCCAGCCCCTGCCAAGTATAAATATCAAAGGTACTTGGTAGCTATGTTTCTTAGATGTCCTTTCTAGTATATTGCTTCTTCAACTCAATACCTCTAAAAGGTCTAGTTCAAGTACTTGGTTGACCAACTAGCATATTTGATTTTCACTGTTAGGAAACTAAAGTTCAAAGACATTACATAACTTGCTAATAACACTAGACTAAGCACCCAAACTGAGGCCTAATTAGGAGGCCAATTTTTTCTACCATGATTGAGATAAAGATTTGCCCATGGTTGGTCAGCAAATGGCAGAACCAGAATCCAAACTTAGGCCTTCTAAATTCAGTACCCTCTAATAAACTATGGCATATATGGGGCTGGGGATTTAGCTCAGCGGCATAAGCGCCTGCCTTGCAAGCAGGCAGGCAGTCATGAGTTTGATCCCCGGTACCGATAAAAAGGAAAAAGACAAAAAAAACCCCAACCAACCAAATAACAACAACAAAAAAAAAAAACTATGGCATATATAAGTACTAAAAAGGGCTTTTGGCTTCTTGAAAAAAAAAATAACATAAGGTGACTTATGCAAGGGAGGCTGCCCTTGGCCTTCCAGATGATATGGAAGAACAGTATAAATACTCCTGAATGTCATCAAATATTACCAAAAGAAAAGCATTATAGTACTTGCAAACTTTACTTGCACACAAAGGACTAATATCCTTTACAACCACTGTAATCATCAATCCTTATACCATATAACATCTAGAGGCAGAACTGGTTCTTCTGAGCTTCTAAGAATGTTCCAAATAGAAAATTTATACAAAACAATGCTATATTCTATACATACACAAATCATTCTTTCCTCATTTTCAAAAATTCTGAAGGGAGCCAGGTGTGATGACACACACCTGTAATCCCAGTACTCAGGAGTTTTAGGCAGAAGATAGTCATGAGTTTGAGACTACTCTGGGATACACAGTGAGTTCAAGGCCAACCTGAACTACACACAGAGATTCTGTCTCAAAAACAAACATACAAACAGAAAGTTCTGGAGGGCAATGGAAAGTAAAAAAAAATTAAGATGTGCTACGTACATGTATCAACTCAGCACGATGAATGTAATCACTATGTGTAACACATACTAATATATATTAAGAAAAAAAATACAGAATTAAAAAAATTTATTACAGAGAACTTAAAACATATACAAGCCTGGTATAACGGCATATGCCTATAATCTCAGCACTGTAGGAGGATCCCAAGTATGAACATAGCCTGGGAAATTTAGCATAGCCATGCCTCAAAAAATAAGACAAAATGGCTGAGGATGTAACTCAGTGCAAAGGCTGTAGTCTAAATCCTCAGTACTATGAAAAACATTTTTTTAAATTTTAAAAGCATATATAACAGTAACATAATGAAGCACTACATACCTATCACTCAGCCCCAACACTACCAACCACAGATAATCTTTTCCTCTTTATCAGATTATTTTGAAGCAAACCTCAGGCACTACATCATTTTATCTGTAAACAAGTGCTTATTATAAAACATCCAGTTCAACTTCCAATTATCTAGCCAGGCATGCTAGTGCATGCCTGTAATTCCAGCACTAGGGAGCCTGAGGCAGGAGAATCATTGAGTTTGAGACCAGCCTGGGTTATGATGTGAGCTGAAGGCCAGCCTAAATTGCATAGTGAAACCCTGTCTGAAAAAGGCCAAAAATAATAACAACCCAATTATATTGGTCATACTTTTTCAAGCTTAAAAAAACTGGCATCCAAAAAAGATCTACACAATGAAACTGGTTGATAAATCTTTGGAGCTTTGTTTTGTTTGTTTTTGTTTTTTTTTTGAGTCTGGGTCTATGTATCCAGGCTGGCCTTGAACTATTTGACCAAGGATGGCCTCAAACTCATAGCATTCCTCCCACCTCAGCCTCCAAATAGTTTGAGTACTTTAATTTATAAATTCACTATTTTTTTCTGCTTTGATTTGTTAAAGAAACAACATCATGCTGCCAGGTGTGGTGGCACATGCCTGTAATCCCAGCACTGGAAATGCTAAGGCAGGATTGCTGTTAGTTGAGGCCAGCTTGGGCTACAAAGTGAGTGCAGGGCCAGTCTGAACTGCATAGTGAAACCCTGTCTCAAAAAGACAAAAAACAAAAAAAACACCAAAAAACAAAAAAGAAAAACAGTATTACACACACACACACACACACACACACACACACACACACATATCATAAGATTATAAAAAATATGCATGAGAATGAGAAACACCAAATTCAGGACAGTGGTTACCTTCAGTAGTGGAGAGGGAATGTAAGGAAGCATGGGTAGCTTCAATTCTTTTTCAGTTGAAAAACAGGAATGTCTTTTTATTAAAAGGTCTAGGGAATGGGGGTATACTTCTATGGCAGAGCATTCACTTAGCATGCACAAAGCCCTAGATTCAATCCCCAACAACACCACCACCAAACAAACAAACAAAGTGTTTCTTTTACATATGTGCAGCAATACAACCAGTCTTATTTCTAAAATTTTGTATTTTTCCTAGTATCCATATTCATAAATGCTACAAAAAGAAAAATATACATGGCTACCATAAATGGTAGGATATTAAAATATGGAAAATGAGATAAAATAATTATATATGAGATAATAAACTCTGAAAAAAGAAGAAATAAAATAGACCTTGGTATCAGTAGAACAGATACAAACAAAATTAATAACTATTGAAGGGATGGGGTATAAAATATTTTGAGGAATTACCACTAAGTACCAGTCGTAATAGGCTGAAGTTGATTACTTCATTATTTCATCACACTAATCCTACAGGTAAAACAGTATCAGCTTCAATCCTACCCCTAACTTTTGTTTTGTTTTGTTTTGTTTTTTTGTGGTACAAAGGACCAGACCAAGGGCCCTCACATTGAGCTACATTCTAGCCTTTGTTTTCTTTTTCTTTTTCCTAAAACGGGATCTCACTAAATCACCAGGTTGCCTGGCTGGGCTTCAATTTGTGATTCTATTTCAGGTTCCCAGAATGATGGGATTACAACTGTGTGTCATGATGCCCAGCTTGTTTGGCTTCTTTCTGTAAATGGGTGCCTGAACCCAGAAGGCATGTAGCTTCAACTCCTGCTCTTTTTAAATTTTATTCTGAGATAGGGCTTGCTAAATTGCCAAGCTGTCCTTGAACTTGTGATCCTTCAATCTGTCTTCCATGTAGATGGGATTACAGCTGTGTACCACTGTGCCTAGTTATGTTTTAATTCTTAAAAAAGAGCGGTAAGGCCAGGTGGATGTGGTAATGCATGGCTATCATCCTAACACTTGAGAGACTAAGGCAGGAAAATTGCCTGAGTTCAAGGCCTGAGCTACATACTGACCTCAAGATAAGCCTGCACTACAAAGCTAGACCCAGTCTCAGAACACAAGAGGTCTGGGACATAGCTCAGTGGCGAAAGTGCCTGCCTGACAAGCAAGGTCTTGAGTTCAATTCCTGATACAAAACAAAACAGGGTTATAGTTCAGTAGGAGAGTGCTTGCCTGGCTTCAAAATATCCTTGGTCAGAAACAAATACAACAGAAGATAAAATGGGTCTTAATTATTTTTTTACTTTTTTGTTTTTCGAGACAAGTTTCATTATGTAGCTCAGTCTTTAAACTCGTGGCAGTCCTTCTGCCTCAACTTCTGAAGTGCCAGGATTACACACATGCACCACCATGCCCAGTTTACTTCCTATTTTTATATGCTTAAAATGCTTACTAAAAAATGTTTAAGTTATTAAGTCAGTGAGCAAGATACAATGAATACACTCAAGTCTCAAATGTCCTTCCCCTGTATACTGACTCTCACAGTAAAACACCTCATAAATTATTGCAAAAATTAAATGAAATCCTAACATAAAGCACACTACAGGCATGATCTAAAAGATAAATAAGTGGTACCTATCATTATTTTATCCCACCCCAGTCACATTCCCTGAATCTTAAGCACAGGAATGGAAGGAAAAAAGAGTGCTAAAATGATAGGGAACTTCCCCTAGTCCAGTGATGGCAAAGCTTCTACAAAGATGAGTGCCAAATTGCAATCCAAAACCCACTTATCTGTTGCCAGGTACCAACAATGCAATTAAACCTGAATATTGAGGCTTTTAGTTTAGAAAAAGCAATCACACATTAACATCTTTTGTCTTAAAAGAAAAACAAGTAATATTCCTACCATAGGTTCACCACCACTGCACCTAGTCCTTGGAGATTTAGAAACTGACCAATATGCCTTCCTTAAGCCTGTATTCGAGGAAGTAGTTACTTAACCTAGCATTCCACCATATTGTCTCTCATTAAAGACCAGACTGGACCAGATATGAACTATCAAGCAAATTCTGCAAACTAATGGTACTGAAGTATCCTGTATAAAAGCAATGGACTAAATTTCTGAGGCCTCAGCAACTCAGAAGTCTTTGAACCACAATGCAGATGAGAACACTCATCTGGAAAAAGGGGGATAAATACTGCTAATTGGATCAATTAAAAATCAACCAAGGGGATATTTATGAAACCAATGTACACCTAAAACCCCTAAACTAATGAAAACTGTTACTTCCCAAGGAAGGAAACCCTTGTGATAAAACTGAAGCTCTGAAGTGAAGTTCTCCAAAAGCAGTTTTAGTTTACTTCTCTGCTATTACATCAGCACCTGCTTTTCTTGACACTTGCAGGGTAGGTTCTAGTTAAAATATGGGGACCCCTTTATTTTGAAGGGAGGTATATTTTTTTCCCATTGCCCAATTCTATTATAATTCTCCTCCCCATCCCTGTGTGACCCTATTCTGTCCTTCTACATCTCTCTCACCTGTCCACCCCCTTCTTCACACTTCAGTGTACCACCCCCTCTCTGTTCTCTAACCTCCTGGTTGCAACCCCAGAAACTGATTCTCTATTTTTATCTTACCTCAGAAACCCTATTGCCTTAGAGCACAAAGCCTTTTTATTTAGTCCACTAAAACTGTACCACATCCTCTTTCAAGGCTCTAAAGCCAAAACCATTACCTTGCTAGCTAGGTCTGTTAGTCACAACAGCAAGGACTATTCCCAAAGCACAGGATTTCTCACTGGCCTTTGATTTCCAGTCTCTCCCAAGTACAATAAATATATGAAGCACACAGTTCAAATGGCTGTTACCACGCAGAAAATAGGCCCAACTTTTTTTTTTTTTTTTACATCAAATTGAACTGAAATTATTTTTAAGAATTTTGCAATTCCCTTTGAGATTACTGAAAACACTGTAGGGTGGAATTTCAGCTTTAGGTTAACATTTCACTGTCTGGGTACCAGAGACTCCCCTCCTATACGGGTATAGAGAGCACGCATCACTACGCTGTAGCAACAGGTTTCTTTTTTAAAAGATGTTTTGGGGCTTTTTTGTTTTTAATTTTTAGACGGGTATGGTAAAGCTTGGAGCACATACAACACACACACACACAAACTGGAGGCCAAGTTAGGGCGGCCGGTGGGCAACTGAAATCACTTCTGCGGCCTCTTAACGAGCTCACTCTGGGGTGCCAACTGTCTCCCCTTCACACCTTCCTCGAAGACGGGGAAGAAGGGGGCTCAGGTCCTTGCCAACCACAGTGCTCGGCCTCCCGCAGCTCGCCTTCAGAAACCTGTCGCCGCGAGGCGGCGCAGCCCTCGGGCAGGGCCTTTGCACTTCCCTGCTCCGAGACGAAAATTCCCGCCTCCCCGCAGAAGGTGGGAGAAGCGCGCGCTTCCTTCCCGCCCCTCCCCCCGAGAACGACACCAGCCCTTCGGCTGGCTCCCGAGGAACCCCTCTCCTGAGGGGCTCAGTCACACCCCATCCGACCCTGGGCAGCGCAGGCCGCTCTCCCGGGGTTGGGTCATCTCTCCCTCACCACCGGCGCGCGACCCCGCTACTCCCTAGTAACACCCTCCTGCCGGCGGGCTGGGACTGTGGCATCTCCTGCCCTCTTCCCCTCACAGCGGATAGCACTCCTGGCCTCTCAAGGCCCAGGCAGCCTCCCTTTACGTTTTCCTCAGCGGAGTGAGGGCGTCGCTGGGCCGCCGACGTGGAGGAGGGGGGTCAGGGACACTCCCCCCACAACCACCTCAGGGGCGAGAACCAGCCCTTCTCCCAACAGAGGGCCTTCCTATCCCTCAACGGGGCGTTTGGGGCGCCCACCCCACTGGAGAAGCAACAGGCGCCCCCAACCCCCGCCCTGCAGACGAACGCAGACCGTGTGTCCCTCCCGCTCTTCACCTCCGGAAGCCGGGCCAAGCCTGGGCGAACGACTGCGTCTCACTCCGCCCCCTGCGCCATTTTATCGCCCCCTCCCCGACCTCCCCCACCCCCGAGACGGCCGGGCCAACGCCAGGGGGCGGGCAGAGAAGCAATGATTGGCAAGAAACATCCCCGCCCCTAAGGGAAATGCGCCCAACGCAGACGCTACAACCCCGCCTTCCGCACCGCCCACTCTACCTGCTGGCTCCGCCCTTTCCCGTTTCATCGACCCGCTCGGCTCTCCGTTGCTCCTGACTCTTTCCTAGCTACCGCTAGGCAAAGGCTCTAGACTGAGTAAGCCGAGTGACGAGTTCAGCTGATGCAACCTGACGGGACTCGCGTGACAGTTCCCGGCACGCGGCGGCGGCGGCGACAGAGGAAGGGGCGCAGGTGCCGGTCGAGTGCGGGAAGTAGAGGTGACGGAACCATGGGGGATGCTCCCAGCCCGGAAGAAAAACTACAGCTTATCACCCGGAACTTGCAGGTTGGGCCTCAGGGTTGGAATGTGCGGTCGGGAACTGAGAGCCGTGGGTCCAGTGGTCCTATCCGGTTCTGCCGGGGATTCTGTACCTGGACAGTTCTGAAGAGACTGTAGCTCTCACTATTGTTCAGTCAAGCATCGTTTACCTAGGTGCAGAAATCACAGAGGGCTCACCTCTTGTGTGCAATTACCTCGTGTCGGAGCCAGGCTTTGAGTCATGGATTTCTGCCTTCCTACGTGCTAGGTTTGGTGTTCGGTGCTGGGGATGGGTCAGGGCCTGCCCTCCCAAAGCTGATCTGGAGATGATCAGAGGTTAAAAATGACCCAGAGCCCAAATCATTTCAGTTAAAGTTACGTACTGGAAGTTACTATACGTGAAAGAACATGGAGGGAGGGAAGGATTCCCCTAAGGAAGTAACCTCTGAGCTGCTCCCTGAAGAATATGG